TTTGTAAAACATACAAATCTAGCACTTTTTCCAGGATTGACTAGAGATACCCTGCAGACCAAAGTCCAACCTTCTACAAGAGTCGACTTCGTAATTCTGAATTCCCAAGTGGAGTGGTGAGAAAATGTTGTGTTTGTGGGAATAAACAGGAAATAGGCAGGGCTAACTCTTACTTGGTCCCATACAGAAGGATTAATTTAACACATGCATGTGGTCCAATTTGAGGAGACCTTTTACCTCAGCAGAACACAATCCAGAGTGATATCAAAATCTTCCCATTCCGTATTGATCCAATGTTCGTCTTCGTCTCTCTAAGTTATGTGAGTGAGCCTAATAAGTTTGGGCATGGCCAGCCTTCCTTCTTCCAAAAACTAATATAGCATTTTCATTTTCAAGGCCCATGTTGTATTACATTGACTGAAACATTTCTTTTGTCTCATGGCTATAAGAATAGGAAGAGTCTGAATGATGAAGATCCTCTGCAAAAACATTATTTGCATTCATATTATCTTGCAAATCCAGGAAAGAGACAATTGCTAAATGTGTCTGTTAAGATGAATTAAGAAGTGATAAAATTAACACCAAAAGTGGGAGGGCAAGGCAGGTGATGCGAATGAGCAGGTATCTCATGCTTTGCTTGCTTCAGTGAAATGGAGAAGATGTTAAGGCCAAAAGTCACTATTATGATCATCTTGTCTGATCTCCTGCAATAACATATATCCAGTTCAATGAATTGTGGCTGAACTACTTGCCTATCTTTTAGAAAGACGTCTTGGTTTAATGAGTACAAGTGATGGAGAAATCAACACATGCTTTAGTAATCTGCTCCAAAGGTTAATAATCTTTTCTGATAATAACCTTTGCCTTATTTTGACTTGAAACATCACACGCACCAAGGTGGCCTGTCAGCGTTTGATTGTGGGATCTTTCATACCCTCTGTGAAGAAACATTCTGCTATACCAACACCACACTTAAACAAAAGTTTCCACAAGGCCCAATGGAGATTTGAATTGAGGACCCTAATATAGAAGGCCAATGCTCTAACCTCCAAAGCTATGGAACAATTTAAAAATCTCTGAACTAGCTTGTTGAGGTTTTACTCTAACGTTAAACATGTTGAAACTAGAGACTTCTACAATACCTTAACCTCTCGAATAACATGATACTATAAAACACAGGGTCTATCTCCATTTTGAGCTGGAGGTGTAAATTCCATCTCAAGTGGACATACCCACAGATTGAGCTAGCGTGCTAAACACACAGAGAAGCCACAGTGGTGCAAGTGGTGGGAAGGGCTAGCTAACCAAATTCATGCTTAGAATCTTGGACAGGTACGAATTCAGGATGGCTAGCCTCCGCCCCCCACCCCATAGCCACTCTCTCTCTTTAGCGTACTAGCTCAATCAGAGCTAGCGTAGGTATGTCCACTCAAACTGGAATTTACACTTCTAGCTCACAGTGCAGACATACTCATAGCCAACACTGCTAACTTCTGCTCAGAACTCCGATCTGTCATGCCATGAATCAGATATGTCTACAGTGCAAAAGGTTCAATCACTAGAGCAAATAGGAGGGGTCATAAAGGGAATCCCTACCTGGCATTGATTGGTACTTTGTTTGGCTTTGTTTTTCAGAAAACACTTAATTTTGAAGGACTTTGAGAGACTGCTGGCTTGCAATAATCTACACACAAATCCCATGCTAGCTTTCTCCAGAGTAACTCTTGCAGTACTTCTAAAGTGAGCAGGGAAGTCATTCCTCTCCCATACATCTTTGAAACTATATCTGTTTACAAAGCACTTGCTGATATTTCCTCAACACGCTCATACTTCAAGGTCTGCACTTATCCTGCCTCCAGCTACAGATGTCATATAATTAGCAGCAATATACCTGACTAGAACTTTCATTATGCAGCTAAAGATATAGTCAATCCCACAAGCACGCATGCACACACACACACACACACACACACAGCAAACCCTGCCTTACACACTACAAGTTTAACAGAACTCTCTTGCAAACGCTGAGCATCTGATTTTCAAATCAAAACTTCTTTCCTCTGAAAAAAGGAAGGGCACTAGCCCTTCAAATCAGGGCTATTTCTATGCCAAGTTTTACCTTTCAGCTCACAGCTTGCTTCCCTGTCCTGGCTGCAAGGTTATTTGTTTGCTTTATTTTAAAAAAAAATGGGATGAGCATTCCCCCTCATATTTCCTATGCTCCAAAACAGCTCAACAACAATAAAAATAAATTGCGACCATCACTGCTATCTTTGGCTGTGTGTTTCATTCAAGCTCTTGAATGAAAACTCATATAACCTTAATGGTGGTTGGAATAAATACAGCTGCCAGTTTTCCAAGGTTAATTCAGCCAGTCATTTTATTAAATATCAATTATTTTTAAATGTAGGTTGAATTATTAACAATGCAACAAAAACGTGCCAAAACTGCAAACAATGATTATGACAATAGTATAGTTTGGTTTAAAGGAACTAGCTTGTTCAATCCGTGATCAATTTTTCTTTATCATGTAGACTTTTATTGAAGTCATAAACATAAATTTTATACAAATTCGATGATGCACTTTTCCAAGATACATTCAACATGTACATTAATTGTGGAGGTTCCATGTGATATGTTGTTGTTTTTAAGATTATTATTAACGGCCTTATAATTAGGTTACTAGCAGGAATGTCTCCTCACTTGACAACCACCATACCTTTCATACAGTTCAGAATGAGCAGCATTTTTCATGCTCAGAAACCCAGAGTGCAATTTAAGTCCGTGTTGAAAGTCAGTACTGTGGTACTGACAGTACCATTATTTAACATGTATATTGTGGTAACACCCAAAGGCAACTAACACCCAGATTAGGCCCTACTGTGCCAGACACTGTACATACACATGGTAAATGACAGTCCCTGCCCTAAAGAGATTAAGTTCTTAACACCACACACATGCATGCACACTGCTGATGATCCACATAGCTGGCACTAAATCTTCAGTTTAAGTATTACTGCTGACAACTTAAGTCAATTATGTTACAATGGACAGTAATTAACATAGGTCTATTCTGCTGTTTAGAAAGTCTGTAAATATAATATAGTACTTAACCTTTAAAAAGAAAGGATATGTGTGAAAAAGTTATAAGATTCAGGGTGCAATCACTTTTTAATGTTACACCAACACTATGTACCCTGTGCAATTCTAACCCCCCCCTTTGAGAGCAAAGCACATTCGCAATTCTGAAAACTGATGTTACCATAGCAATACTCTGTTACTCTGAATATTTATATAATGTTTAACATTTTCACTGTGCAACAGCCATCTTCCAAACTGTACCTCCTACTTCCATTTGTTATGTTAGCTTTCATTCTGTTTGACAGAACAGTTTAAAACATTAGGGCAGAGGTTAACGTGCACTTAATATTGAAAGTAAGACCTCTCTCTCTCTCTCTCTCACACACACACACACACACCCCTTCCCACAAACCCTGCATGTGCTTTTGTGCTGCTCTGGAGAAGATAACATCCAGGGGACTGCTTTATAACTTGCAGATGTGCAATGGACAACTTGTGCACTCGATTCTAACACCAAATTTCTCACATTAATCAAACTAATTAATGCTCCCCTATTCGGCACTCCTTACTCAGGCTAAGTTTCCTCTGCAGTTAATAGAGAATATGATCCACATAAAGTAGCTCTGGAATTCAGTTAACAATTTTTGACAACATGTCCTCTTCTCTTTTGTGGCATTTTAAAGGAATATGAGATCTGGCCCCATAAAATCCTGTGAACCCTACTGAAGACTGACTTTGCTAGAGGAGTAGAACTGTACTGTACTGACTAAAATGCTCTTTCGGTTAACAAACAGGAATGTTCACAAGATGAATTTATAATCTGGTACATTACCTACAACAACAAAGTATGACTACAGTTAATACTGGTAAAATATTTAAATTACATCATACTGCAAAGAAATTGAAGTCAGTATTCCTACTGAAGCTGTGTCAGGAAATCTCAGAAATCATAACTGATATTCCAACAATCCCATTCTGGATCAGAAACTTGGGTGTATTTTCACTGATGTCCACAGAACTGCACGTGTGGCTCTCAGCAGAGATAGGCCCCTTATGTGCATTATAATATAGATTTTAATGTCATTAACATTGAATAGCTTTAAACACTAGATGAGAGCACTACTAACCTAACCTGTGGCTTGATACTAACTGCTACCAAACATTGTTCCACATTTATATTACTGAAATGTTCACAGACCATTATAAAAACACCATATTTGTGCCCTGCCTCAAAGAGTTTATAAGCCATAGGAAAATAAACTGCAATGACCACCCCGAATATAGACTCTAATATCTCAATCACAAATGTTTACATTCAAACCCAATCCTTCGTTTGACTTTCCTACTGAATGCTACAAATATTGGCTATATAAAGCATCCATCAGGTGAGATTGATTTTGGAATCATACCACATACAAAATATTTTTCCTCAATCTAAAACTTATGGTCACTAACTTTTAAGTGCACTTTTACATTTAGATATTAGGCAGAACAGTAACATTGGTTTCCTACAAGTTCTATTCTCAATAGCCATTTTGTCAATAAAAGGGGCTCGGTTTCTTTATTTAGGCCAAGATTTTTCAAAAATGAAATCCTAACTGCAGGCTCCTAAATTCACACTTAGGCCTCTAAATAAGTGGGTTGATGGGAGTAGTTGGGCAGTTCAGCACTTTTCAAAGTCAGAGTCACTTATTTAGGTGCTCAATAAGGACCTACGAGACTGGAACCTAAATTTAATCTCTCATTGTTAAAATGTTGGTACTTGGTTCTCTGTATTAAACCTATAGATATGATTCTCTAAACAGGGGTTACCAGTCCCACTGCTTCTCCACCTTTCAAACAAGTTCATCTGCATTTAGAGCATTTTTTTTAAATTAGTATTTCTACCCACTGCTCACAGCTGTGTTTCAATCACTTACTTTTATATGTTCATGTAGCTGAGCCTCATGCTGACGGGAAAGTTGCTCATGCTGCCTCTGGAACTCAGCTATAAGGATTTGTCTCTGAATTTGTTGTTTTTGTTTGAGAGCCAGGAGTTCCTGCTGGAGTTGCTGTTCTCGGAGTGTAGGTTCCGTCACTGGCATGGAAAACTGGTGGTCCAAGCGGAGATCCATGGGGACCGAAGTTGGTGCAACTTGCAAGGGCAGTGCTGTGTTCACATCAACTGCAAAATGAAAAAAAAAAAAAAAAAGCCATCAACCTATTTCCCATTCAATAGTGAATTTAGCTTTGGCTTTTAGAAGACATTCTAGGAACCACAATACCTGATTCAAGAACACCATCTCTCTTATATTTCATATTGTAAAAGGACACACAATCTAGGTTTGACAATTTATTCACTCCCTGAGATGGTAGCTTGTTTTAAAAGCAAAACACGCCCTCTCTCTTTTGGAAAAAACCTGTGTTATCCAAAAACAAGTATAGCAAGGAATATGATGTATGGTGTTTTCAACAAATTGCACATGAGCTCTCTTGATCTCATTGCAAGTTTGCACCAACGAAAGTTTCCCCCAACGAAAGTTTCCCAAATAAACTGGGTTAATAATGCTTTTAGCCAAAAGCAAGCCAGTAAGTGGGACACTGGGCTTTAGGAAAACTTGGTAAAATAGAAGTGTACACCTCAACTGCTTTATGCAGTGTAATTCTAGCCATGTCAGTGTGGATATTAGAGAGACAAGGTGGGTCAGGTAATATCTTTTATTAGACCAACTTCTGTTGGAGAGAGAGCCAAGCTTTTGAGCCACACAGAGCTCTTCTTCAGGTCTGGGAAAGGAGGTACTCCCAGCCTCACAGCAAACTGCAAGGTGGAACAGATTGTTAGCATAAGTAATTAGCACATTTATTGTAAGGCGGGGTTCTCAACCTCTCTCTTTCTGAGGCCCCCCCAAACATGTTATAAAAACTCCACGGCCCACCTGTGCCACAATAACTTGTTTTCTGAATATAAAAGAGAGGGCCGGCACTAGGGGGTAGCAAGCAGGCAATTATCCAGGGGCCCATACCACAAGGGACACCATAAGAACGGCCATACTGGGTCAGACCAAAGGTCCATCCAGCCCAGTATCCTGTCTACCGACAGTGGCCAATGCCAGGTGCCCCAGAGGGAGTGAACCTAATGGATAACGATCACGTGATCTCTCGCCTGCCATCCATCTCCACCCTCTGACAGAGGCTAGGGATACCATTCATAGAATCACAGAATATCAGGGTTGGAAGGGACCTCAGGAGATTATCTAGTCCAACCCCCTGCTCAAAGCAGGGCCAATCCCCAATTAAATCACCCAACAGATTTTTACCCCATATCCCTAAATACCCCCCTCAAGGATTGAACTAACAACCTGGGTTTAGCAGGGCCAATGCTCAAACCACTGAGCTATCCCTCCGCGCATTCCTTATCCATCCTGGCTAATAGCCATTCATGGACTTAACCTCCATGAATTTATCCAGTTCTCTTTTAAACCCTGTTATAGTCCTAGCCTTCACAACCTCCTCAGGCAAGGAGTTCCACAGGTTGATTGAGCACTGAGTGAAGAACAACTTCCTTTTATTTGTTTTAAACCTGCTGCCCATTAATTTCATTTGGTGGCCCCTAGTTCTTATATTATGGGAACAAGTAAATAACATTTCCTTATTCACTTTCTCCACACCACTCATGTTTTTATATACCTCTATCATATTCCCCCTTAGTCTCCTCTTTTCCAAGCTGAAAAGTCCTAGCCTCTTTAATCTCTCCTCATATGGGACCCGTTCCAAACCCCTAATCATTTTAGCTGCCCTTTTCTGAACCTTTTCCAATGTCAGTATATCCTTTTTGAGACGAGGGGACCACATCTGTACGCAGTATTCAAGATGTGGGCGTACCATGGATTTATATAAGGGCAATAAGATATTCTCTGTCTTATTCTCTATGCCTTTTTTAATGATTCCTAACATTCCGTTTGCTTTTTTGACTGCCGCTGTGCACTGCGTGGACGTCTTCAGAGAACTGTCCACGATGACTCCAAGATCTTTCTCCTGATTAGTTGTAGATAAATTAGCCCCCATCATATTGTATGTATAATTGGGATTATTTTTTCCAGTGTGCATTACTTTACATTTATCCACATTAAATTTCATTTGCCATTTTGTTGGCCAATCACTTAGTTTTGTGAGATCTTTTTGAAGTTCTTCACAGTCTGCTTTGGTCTTAACTATCTTGAGCAGTTTAGTATCATCTGCAAACTTTGCCACCTCACTGTTTACCCCTTTCTCCAGATCATTTATGAATAAGTTGAATAGGATTGGTCCTAGGACTGACCCTTGGGGAACACCACTAGTTTCCTACCCCTCCCCGTTCTGAAAATTTACCATTTATTCCTTTGTTCCCTGTCTTTTAACCAGTTCTCAAACCATGAAAGGATCTTCCCTCTTCTCCCATGACAACTTAATTTACATAAGAGCCTTTGGTGAGGGACCTTGTCAAAGGCTTTCTGGAAATCTAATTACACTATGTCCACTGGATCCCCCTTGTCCACATGTTTGTTGACCGCCTCAAAGAACTCTAATAGATTAGTAAGACATGATTTCCCTTTACAGAAACCATGTTGACTTTTGCGCAACAACTTATGTTCTTCTGTGTGTCTGACAATTTTATTCTTTACTATTGTTTCAACTAATTTGCCCGGTACTGATGTTAGACTTACTGGTCTATAATTGCCAGGATCAGCTCTAGAGCCCTTCATAAATATTGGCATTACATTAGCTATCTTCCAGTCATTGGGTACAGTAGCTGATTTAAAGGACAGGTTACAAACCAGCTAATAGTTCCGCAATTTCACATTTGAGTTCTTTCAGAACTCTTGGGTGAATGCCATCTGGTCCCGGTAACTTGTTACTGTTAAATTTATCAATTAATTCCAAAACAGCCTCTAATGACACTTCAATCTGTGACAATCCCTCAGATTTGCCACCTACAAAAGATGGCTCAGGTTTGGGAATCTCCCTAACGTCCTCAGACCTGAAGACTGAAGCAAAGAATTCATTTAGTTTCTCTGCGATGACTTTATTGTCTTCAAGTGCTCCTTTTGTATCCAGGGGCCCCACTGGTTGTTTAGTAGGCTTCCTGCTTTTGATGTACTTAAACATTTTGTTATTACCTTCTGAGGTTTTGGGTAGCTGTTCTTCAAACTCCTTTTTAGCTTTTCTTATTAAATTTTTACATTTAATTTGGCAGTGTTTATGCTCCTTTCTATTTACCTCACTAGGATATGACTTCCATTTTTCAAAATGTGCCTTTTTATCTCTCACTGCTTCGTTTAATGGTTGTTAAGCCACGGTGGCTCTTTAATTCTTTTACTGTGTTTTTTTAATTTGGAGTATACATTTAAGGTGAGCCTCTATTATAGTGTCTTTGAAAAGTGACCATGCAGCTTGCAGGGATTTCACTCTAGTCACTGTACTTTTTAATTTCTGTTTAATTAACCGCCTCATTTTTGCATAGTTCTCCTTTCTGAAATTAAATGCCACAGTGTTGGGCTGTTGAGGTGTTCTTCCCACCACAGGAATGTTAAATGTTATTATACTATGGTCACTATTTCCAAGCGGTCCCGTTATAGTTAACTCTTGGACCAGATCCTGCACTCCACTCAGGGCTAGATCGAGAGGTGCCTCTCCCCTTGTGGGTTCCTGTACCAGCTGCTCCAAGAAGTAGTCATTTAAAGTATCGAGAAATTTTGTCTCTGCATTTCATCCTGAGGTGACATGTACCCAGTCAGTATGGGGATAATTGAAATCCCCCACTATTATTGAGTTCTTTATTTTGATAGCCTCTCTAATCTCCCTTAGCATTTCATCGTCACTATCACTGTCCTGGTCAGGTGGTCGATAATAGATTCCTAGTGTTATATTCTTATTAGAGCATGGAATTACTACCCATAGAGATTCTATGGAACATTTGGATTCATTTAAGTTTACTTCATTTGATTCTACATTTTCTTTCACATATAGTGCCACTCTACCCCCCCTGCACGACCTGTTCTGTCCTTCCGATATATTTTGTACCCCGGAATGATTGTCCCCCATTGATTGTCCTCACTCCACCAGGTTTCTGTGATGCCTATTATATCAATATCCTCCTTTAACACGAGGCATTCTCGTTCACCCATCTTATTATTTAGACTTCTAGCATTTGTGTACAAGCACTTTAAAAACTTGTCACTGTTTATTTGTCTGCCTTTTTCTGATGTGTCAGATTCTTTCTGTGAATGTTTCTCGTCTGATCTGGCCCATACTTTATCCTCTTCCATCCTCTCCTCCTGACTAAAACCTAGAGAATCTCTATCAATAGACTCTCTTCTAATAGAAGTCTCTGTCCAATCCACTTGCGCCTCTGCAGCAATCAGCTTTCCCCCATCCCTTGGTTTAAAAACTGCTCTGCAACCTTTTTAATGTGAAGTGCCAGCAGTCTGGATCCACTTTGGTTTAGGTGGAGCCCATCCTTCCTGTATAGGTTCCTGCTATCCCAAAAGTTTCCCCTGTTCCTAATAAATCTAAACCCCTCCTCTCTACACCATCGTCTCATCCACGCATTGCGACTCTGAAGCTCTGCCTGCCCACCTGGCCCTGTGCGTGGAACTGGAAGCATTTCTGAGAAGCTAAGTTGCTCAGACTTCTGCTTCAGCCCCAGGTAGCAGGGTTCAGGGCCCCAGGCTTCAGCCCCATGCAGTGGGACTTGGGCTTTCTGCCCTGGGCCCCAGCAAGTCTATCACTGGCCCTGCTTGGCGGACCCTCTGAAACCTGCTCACGGCCCCCAGGGGGCCCCTGACCCCTGGTTGAGAACCACTGTTGTAAGGGACCACCTAAGGTAATATGATCACTCCAGAGCTGACCTATCAGTCCTCATCCTCAAAGGAAACCTGAACACTTTCAAAAAAGGAGCCCGGGAACTTAAATGCATTACTCTGCTAGACACTAAAAATCATGAACTGAACAGAGACACTCCCGGAAGGGCGTTTCAGTGCAGGAGGGGGCACAGGGCTGGGGTATGGGGATGGGGTACAGGAAGAGATGAGAGGTGCAGCACTTACCTCTAGCGGCTCCCCAGAAGCATCAACATGTCCCTCCGGCTCCTAGGTGCAAGGACAGCGGCTAGGTGGCTCTGTGCAGTGCACTCTGCCTCCCCCCACT